AAATTAAGTCGATGGGATATTGGCACACAGACAAAGATAGATGGTAAAGAGCCCAGAAAAAGACCCATACGTTTGTGGACACTTGATGTACGATAATGGTTACTCGTGACTTTAATGATCCACAAAAAAGGAATTTATTTTTCAATACATAGTACTGGCTTAATCTGATGTGCTTATTAAAAAAAAGGAAAAAAATTAGCTCCTATCTCAAACCATATAAAAAATTATTATGAACAGACTAACGGCTTTAGTGTAAAAGGTAAAAATCATAAAATGTTTGGAAGACAATACATGGGGAAATACCTTTATAAACTTGAAGTAGGGAGGAAGTTCTTAAAAAGAAATAAGAAGTGCTAACTATTAAGAAAAAGTTAATAGATGACATTAAAATTAAGAATTTCTGTTCATTGAAAAATACTAGACTGACAAGACAAGCCACAAACTGGAAGTGGATGGTTTCGGGGTGGGGGGAGGGGGGCGTCTCTGTATAATAAAAAGACAATTCAATAAAACAATGAGGGAAAAGATTTAAGCAGCTGTTTCAGAGAGGCTGAAAGCTGAATAATCCATTAGTGCATGAAAAGATGTTCAACCCACTGATAACCATGAAGATGCAAACCGAAACCACAGGAGCTATCACTGAGCTTCCAACAGATTAGTATAAAGCTTAAATCTGACAATACCACTGTTTGGAGGACATGAAGTGGGAAGAACTGTCCCTTGAGCTGTAAACTGGGGACACACTCTGGAAATGACCTGGTGTAACTCTAGTCAAACTGAAGGTGCACACACTCTAGGATTCAGTCCTCCTCCCTGGGGTGTATCCTGAGAGGCTGCACACACGCGCCCCAGGAACGGTCATAGTATCACGGTCTGTCTCAGCAAAGTACTGGAAACAAATGTCCGTCAAAAATAGAAAGGATACATAAATTCTCACACAACAGAACAAGAATCAGTGAAAACGATATGCAACATGGATTAATCTCAAGAACACGTAAAGCAAAAAATTTAGACCTTGAAAAAAACAAGATGATGTACTGAGTTCAAAAACATGTAAAATTAAATAAAGTAACGTTGTTTAGCAACACAAACACATGTGGGAAAACTAAAGAAAAGCAAGAGACAGGAATTCCCTAGCGATCCAGTGGTTAAGACGCAGCACTTGCAGTGTCATGGCCTGGATTCAGTCTCTGGTCAGGGGACTAAGATCCCACAAGCCATGGGACCAGAAAAACAGTAAAGAAAAAAGAAAAGCATGAAAACAGTAAAAGCGAACTCCGAGATTCCGTGGGTGGGAGTGGGGCGGGACCAGGGAGGGGCACTGCAGAGGCAAAGGCAGCACTGTGTGGACTCGGTGGCGGGTGTACGGGTGCTCCTTGCATGCTCACCCTTCAGGCACTACCACTCTTTTCTATCTACTCAGTATTCAGCAAGACAGCTTACAGAATTAACCAGTGTTATTTCTGACTTTAAGCCGTGACTTGAAGCATTAACTTGGGCCGCTGACTGAGTTACACTCAACCAGGAAAGTCTCTGACAGGGGCCCACCCAGCCCTGAGACTACAGAGATGAGAAATGCTTCAGCAGCCAGGCTCCTGAGCTGGAGATAACTTCCCACTGGGCCCTGGAGCATTCCACTCAGGACAGGAAAGGTACTGCTTAGATGAATCGGGTCAGTAGAGGAAGTAGGGTGGGTGGGGTAGGGGGAACAGGTTCTACTGCCAGAGCTTTTAAGACCAGAAGCTGAGTACATTTCTGAGGTGACAGTGAGCCCACCAGGGCTGCTTTCGGCAGACTCCCAGCGGGAAATGCCACCTCTGAGCCTCTGCACACTGCTCTTTAGAGTCGAATGAGCAACTCTCAGCTCTAACCCTGCCCCCCGCTTCCTTCCTCTGAAGCTCAAGGCTGACCTCTCCAACTCCTAACAAGCGGGTGTGAATGTAAGAGCCCACATCGGGGCTTTCTGTACCATCTGTGACTACATCATTGAGGTCAACCATAGGCGGCCCTCAGACTCTTAAGCTACTGATACCCACGAGGACCTCTGAGAGGGCCAGACACCTGAAGCAAACACCAAAATCACTCGCTGCTAAAATGCCTACTCTTTGTGACCTCTATTATTTCAATCATTGAAAAATGTGGGTGGTGAAAGTTGATTATGGTAAATTACAGTCTCTAGGATGATATGGTTTGTGCACAAAATGTGCTTGGAGGTTTTCATTTCCTGTGAGGTTGGAGTCCCTTCCTCTGGTGGTGTCCGTTACCCTGCCAGACACCAGGTCTGAGAACCTATGCCACCCATGTGGCACCATCCTTGGGGGAATTCCAGGATGGTAGAGACTGGGTTTTTTTTGTGGCAAACTGTTCCAACTGAAGCTCTGTCTACAGAGGCTGCCCTTTCGGCACTCTAAACTGAAGGCTCAGTTTATGTGCAACAAAATCAAGGCACATGACCCTTTCAAATGTCTCCCCTGCACACACATACAGACATGCATGAGCACAGAAGGCACAAGGACACACAGACGCAGCTAAGAGTTACCTGGGACAAGAACCGGGTCAGACCTGAGAGGGTCACTCACTTTCCTATCCTAAGCATTTTTCTTCCTCAACTCTGCACGCTTTCTCTCTTGACCCTCACAGGTTGTTGTTGTTAGACCATCCTCTCCTAACTAACACATGGTAAACACTAGATACCAACTGTGGACTCAAAGACTAAATAAAGCAATTTACATGCATTACCTCATTAATAATTCCACCCAATAAAGCTAGCGTGAGGTCATCATTATTCCCACTACACAACCAAGGAAACGGAGGCTTAGAGAGGTCAAATACTCCGCCCAAAGGCTCACAGCTAGTAAGTACAAGGACTAGATATGTTAGGCTCAAGTATCTTTGACTTAGAAGTTCATGCTTCTAACCAGCAGCCTGTACCCCAGAGATTCTCTGCTGTTTTTTGTTGTCAAGTTGCTCTATTGTGTCTGACTCTTTGCAACCCCATGGGCTGTAGCCCACCAAGCTCCTCTGTCAATGGGATTCTCCAGGCAAGAATACTGCAATGGTATTGCCATTTCCTTCTCCAGAGGATCTTCCTGACCCAGGGATTGATCCCACATCTCCTGCATTGGCAGGTGGATTCTTTACCACTGAGCCACCTGGGAAGGCCTCAGAGGTTCTTAGTTGAGGGCAGTTCTGCCCTGGGAGACACATGGCCTCCTCTGGAGACATTTCCATTTGTCACAGCTGGAGGTAGACGGGGGCTGCTGGCACCTGTGGGCAGAGGCCAAGGGTGCTACTCAGCACCCTGACGTGCACAAGACGGCCCCCATGACAAAGACTCAGCAAGCCCCAAACGGCAACCACGTCAAAGCTGAGAAACTGCTCTACTGGAAAAAGACGGACAGAAACAGTCTCTGACCTAAACTCTCGTAGTTCAGGTCATGGTTCACCACGTTCTCACGCCACGTTACACACAGATACCAAGGAAACCATCACGTGTCCTCTCTTCATCAACAGCACGCCAAACCCTCATCACACTGGAGGTCTTGCTAGCCCCACTGGCTGAGTGTCCATTCATTCCAGTGTTTACTGAGCATCAGCTCCATGCCAGGAAATGATCCACACAGTGAGAACACCTGGAGAGACAAGGCCCTGTCCCTGCACATGAGCTGCTTGTGGTCTCACAGGCAGACAGGTGAGGAAACCCGTAACATCACAGGAGGTAAGAATGTACCGTGAGACCGTAGAAGGATGCTAGGAAGTCACAGAGGAGGAGCTCCAAGTCACTGAGGAGGGAGTGGGAAGGGTGGGTAGGACTAGGAGAAAGTTTCCCAGAAGCATTTGAGTTTGAAGCAGTTAACCAGGCAGAGAGAATCCTTTCCTTCCCAAAGAACCCCTCACCAGCCCTTTCAGAGGACAGCCTCTGAAAATCCAGACGGACCACCTTAATTGGAAAGCCTGGCAGAACTCCTGAGAAAAACAGGGAGTGCGCAGAGCAGTCCCTGATCCTCTAAGTACAACCTGGACAACCTGCCTCAAGACGGACAGACCACAGCCTGGCTTCCCCAGTGGTTTGGGCCTTCTTTGACTGTAGTCTGAACCAGTCTCTCTGGCTTCAAACCATCCCGCACCTTGCAGCAGGAGGAAACCGACATGCTCACAGCAGGCCCTGGGAACTACATGCTTGATTTCCCATACTCCTCAAAACAGTTCTCTGAAGTAAACACTGTTATCACTGTTCCACAGATGAGGAAACCGAGGCGCCGCAGTGGAGTACCTGGCCCTCAGGACAGAGAGCCTCTAACCAGGGAAGCAGAGATACACACCTGACCCCACAGTCCTTGTGGCCTCCATCTGCGGGGACCTTTCTAACGCAATCCAAAGCACGTCGTGGACTGCGACTCTTCACCACCTCACAGAGCCCTCCAGCATTGCTCATCCTTCTGTGCTCCATAAAACTTCTGAACAGACTGCTGGCATTTCCGGCACTGTACTATGATTGCACACGTGCTCAGTTGTATCTGACTCTTTTTGACCCTATGGACTGTAATCTGCCAGGCTCCTCTGTCCATGGGATTTCCCAGGCGAGAATACTGGAGTGGGTTGCCATTTCTTCCTCCAGGGTCACTTCTTGACCTCCAGGGGCACTCCTGTATCTCCTGCATTGGCAGGTGGATTCTTTACCACTAAGCCACCTGGGAAGCACATACCATGATTACCATGTGGCTAAGAATGCCCTGATCCCGGGATCCAGGTCCCTCATCTCCACAGCCTGAGCCCCCAGTGCAGTGTAGACACGTCAAGCACAGAAAACACTAGCTGTGTGAGCAAGCCTGGACTCGCTGGGCCCAAGCAACACGAACAACTCAAAGCCAGAGGGGCCTGCCTCGGGGGCCCAGAGGCCTGAGGAACACACCCCACCCCGTTTCACCAGTGAGTGGACTTCCCTCGGGCCTACTGTCAGAGTCAGCAATCCAGTCACACTGGGGACAGAACAGGTTCTCTCAGCCAGCTTTCCCTTCAGCATTGGAACAGTCGTGATTCCTCCTTTGGTTGTACACCAGAGGCGGGGGTTTGGGGACACACTATACAAAAATATGTATATTTAAACATTAGAACCTTAAAAGGAAAGGGTATGTGCTCCCTACTCTGTCTTTCTCTCTCTGCCATACGGAGTGCACACACAGTGGCAGGAGCCAGAGCAGCCTGCTCAGTCCACGAGATGGAAGCTTGGGTTTGAGCAAGGAGAGCCACATGATCAATGGACCCTTGCTTCTGGATGACTTCACAGAACAGAGTGAGCTGCCCTGACCAGTTCTGGACTGCCCACTTCCAGACTGTTAAGGGACAGGAATAAATTTCTATTTCCTTTCAACCACTGTATTTTGGAGCATTTTAGATTGTACGTAATTAAAACAAGGTGTGAACACTGCCCAGGGATTAACCTAGCAAGACCTTTGTCAGTAAAACGACAACATTATCAACATTCTCCTAACCAAACTACCTAGGATTTTGTCATTACTGTACACTTTTAAAGAAAAAGTTTTCTTGAAAAGGTGACTTGAATCACGCTGTGCCTAGAGAAGGACGAACAAACTGACCTCCTGCTTTGTTTCATCCTTGAGTCTTAACAGACATACCTCAGATTTCCAAGTAGCCCAGGCTACTCTGTTCCGACAGCTTGACGGGGGAAACTCCAGCTTGGCTCTCCTCCTCCAGAACATTACCTGAATCAAAAACCAAGTGGAAAATCTGATGAGAACCTGTAGGATTCTAAGAGCTGCTCTGTATCCACCAAACACACGCAAATGCAGAGCACTGAGCACAGAGCCTGGCACAACAAAGTCAGTGCTCAATAAATGTTACACTGGATTGTCACTGGGCTGCTGCATGCCAGACCCTGTGCTGGAGAGCAGGGACACAAAGATGAATAAACCTAGTCCCAGTCCCTACAACTCAGGAAAGCCCCCTACACTCAGGAAAGCCTGCTGACCGAAAGACATAGCACAAGGTTGATAAGCAAAAGCAACGAGGCTGTGCCCAAGTAGTCTTGCAGCACTAGCATTCCCCTGGAATGTCCCAGATCCCGTGCTTCTCACTCCAGACCCTCATCCCGGTGACATATCCCTTCCCACAACTGTAGAGACCTATGATGGATGCTAGATCACCACGGGACAGCTCCATCTGAATGTTTTACTGCATTTACTACAGACATGTTCAAAACAAAATTTATCTTCCCTCCTTAAACCCCCTCCCCATTCTGTTCCCTACCCCAGCGAGCAGCATCACATCCACCAGTCAAAAACTCGGAGCCAACCCAGACCTCTCCCCCAGCCACTAAATCCCCCAACTAAGTCATCACCAACTTTGGTCAAGTCTACCTCCAACACATCTCTCCCCACGTTCTGCCTCTAGTCTAACTCAAGACCATGGTCATCTCTCACCGCCACGGTTCTAGCAGCCTCTTAACGGGCCTCCAGGGCCATTCCCTTTAGTCTTCACTAGAGTGATCTTTCTAATCCACAAATCTGATTCTTAAATGTGTCCTCACTAACCCAAAACTGCAAGTCCACAGCTAGGTTTAAAAGCCTCCCTAGGGGAGATTCCACTACAGGATCCGTGGTTGGGGAACTAAGGATACCTCATACCCCATGCCTGCTTCCCTTCCCCAAAACAAGACCCCTGAGGACCAGACCACAGACTAGTCTCTTTCATCTCTGTCCCCAGGCAGCTTTCTCACACATTTCATCTTCAACTAGGAATACTCTTCCCCTTCTCTGCCTGCACTCCCCAAGCATCCTTCAGTTCTGTTTCCTGGGGAACAGAAGACTTCCTGGATTCACCTAAACTGAGTGAGGTGCCTCTACTCAGTGTTTCCAGAGCAAGAACTTTCCTGCTTTTCTTCCATCAGATCAGAATTGCCTACGTTTCTGTATGTCTCCCACGTGAGTTTCTGAGTTCTGGGTGATGATGATGATACAAAAAATAACAGCAACAAGCACACACAGCATTTACTTTGTGCCAGCAAGCCTTCTCAGCACTTTACCCCTGTTATCTCACTGAACCTTTATAATCGGTTTAGGAGGCAGCTTTCATTCTCAACTCTTTAAGAATGAGGAAACTGAGGCAGGAGGCGAGGAACCAACGTGCCTAACGACACAGTTGGCAAGCACCGAGACAGGATTCAAACCCGGCTGCTTGGTTCCACAGCCGAACTTTGTAACCATGACGCCAGTCTGGGTCACTCGCTCCATCCTCAGAATCCACGAGGAGCTGAACCACCGTCTGCCGAGCGAACGAAAGAATGAAATGATCCCATACGGGCAGCATCGGTCTCCACCACGACCAGCTCCTCCAGGCCCTGGCAGGCAAGAGTCCTCGACCCCACCGGCCAAAGGGCGCGGCGCTGGTAGCCCGCCAGCCCGCGGCCTCAGAAGACCCACCCGGCGGCGCGCCGGCTCAAGGGGCGGTGACAGCCGCGCGGCGGGGGCGGAGCTGCTACCAGCTGGGTGTCCGCCCGGAGGCGACTCGCGCTGCGTCACCCGGACGACGAGTCCGGCCCGCCGGCTCGCCGGGCAGCGCCCTGCACCCTCACGTTGTGCGGGGCCCCCTCAGTCCGGGGTCCTCTCAGTCCCGGTTCCGGTCCCAGTCCACTTCCCTCCGTTCCCCCACACAACCGTCCCCGGCGTCCCGCCGCGACCCATCCTCCGCCGCCTCCGCCCGATTCCTGGGACAACCCCCCCCCCCCCACCCCCACCCCGGCCCCGGTGCTTCCTCACCCTCACCCGCCATGTCCCGGACCCCACCGCGGCGTGAGGGGGCGTCACGGCCGCGAGAAGGCGGGACGGCACTTCTAAACAGAGAAAGAGCGCCGCCATGTTAGAGTCGGACGGAACCGACCGCGCTGGCTTCCCAGCGCAACTTCCGGCGCATGAGCAGCGCCCGCCCTAGGAGTAGCTCGCGGACACGCGCATGCGCCTAGTAATCCAGACGGTCTGTGAAACAGACTGCGCTTAGAAATGTCCTCGGGTTAGGAAGTGTTCAACCCTTCCTTGAAAGTTTTACACTTCAAACGTAAAAGTAACAGCTTTTACGTGTTCAGCGCTTCCTGTGTGCCAGGGACTGTGTTAACCGCTTTACGAGCATTATCTCAAGTCCTCTCACCATCATACGATAATATTTTTCTCCCACTTTGAAAGAGGGAAAACGTAGTTTCAGGGTAAATGAATTGCTCGTTGTCACGCTTATTGCAAGTGGTGAAGCAGAGATGTGAACCTAGTTGTGGCTTCAAAGCTGTTACGTTTTTCTACCTTCTGAGCTAAACATCACCCCTTTCCCTGTTTAGGAGATGTCCAGGGTTAGCCTGTGTGGGAATGAGGGTGCCTGAAAACAAAAGTCAGCTTGCAGACTTCACCAGCGCCTCTGTGGTGTCGTTGCAGCTTTTCAGCACCACCAGGCCATTGACTTTTCTACTTCCTAATAGTTCCTAATAGTTCTCCTTTCTTCATTTTTGACCCTGTTTATTTTCATGATCCATAGTTTTAACAACACCCTTGCAACCACCCTGATCTCCTTTGCTCTCTTGTCTGTTTGACACGTGGATTTCGTAAGAATTTCAACCCTGGATGAATCTGTTGCAGGAAGGGGGACCCCTTTCAGGGCCCAAAACTGGGCTCTTGTCTAACACTCAGAAATAAATTGTCCGAAGAGACACATGTGCTGATAAAGCAAGAGATTTTATTGGGAAAGGGCACCTGGGTGGAGAGCAGGAGGGTAAGGGAACCCAGGAGAACTGCTCTGCCACGTGGCTCGCAGTCTTGGGTTTTATGGTGATGGGATTTGTTTCCGGGTAGTCTTTGGCCAATCTTTCTAATTCAGAGTCTTTCCTGGTGGCGCACGCATCAGCCAAGATGGATGCTAGCGAGAGGGATTCTGGGAAGTGGACAGACACGCGGTGTCTCCTTTTGACCTTTCCTGAACTCTTCCGGTTGGTGGTGGCTTCCATATTCCTTATCAGGATCTCCTGTCATAAAACAACTCATGCAAATGGTTACTATGGTGCCTGGCCAGGGTGGGCGGTTTCAATCAGTGTGCTTCCCCTAACAAATCCAACTGCTCCTTTTTCCCTTTGCTGACACCTAAAGAGCCAAGCACAACTGGAGAAAGTACCCAGTGGGACAGACTGTTCTCTACAAACTCATGACTGCTAGCCTTAAGAGGGACTTCAACAAATGTCAGTCTAGCCAGTTCACTGCTCCTCTCTTCACAATAGCTAGAGAAACTAAAATGCTTAGTAACAGTTGACTTCACCCTTTCTTTTACAGGAAAATATTAATAATAGCAAATCTGATAGGAAACCTCTTGTCTTCCCAATACTAAACATGTAAGTTTCTACTTCTGAGTCCATCTGTGTTGGATCTAGTCAATTGAGACTTGCCATCCATTCCTTTCAGAATCTAAAAAGTTAAAATTTTATTTCCCAGACTCAGTAGCAGTTGGAATCCCAGGTACAGGTAGGTTCTGCCAGTAGGTAAGATTTGGAAGCCATTGGCCTGCTGATGTTAGCCGATTTTTGCCGGCAAGAAAGGTCATGCAAATGTGAGGTGCTGCAGCCAGCAGTACACTGTGGCCTGTCTGCAGCTTCCTGAGTGTTCAGAAGCATCTGTGAGATGGGGGCCGCCAAACTCAGCGTTCTGGTGCCTGGGAACCAGTGTCTAGTCCCAAATCTGGATCCATGGACACGGTGTGGTGATGTGTTTGCTTTTTCAAGTCTTAGAAATCACATTTATTCTTCTTAATGTTTACTTGTATGCATTTATCTGGCTGTGCTGGGTCTCCATGGCTGCGTGGGATTTCTCTAGTTGCGGCAAGCAGGGGCTACTCTTTGTTGAGGTGCACGAGCTTCTCACTGAGGCGGCTTCTCTGGTTGGGAGCCCAGGTTCCAGGGCTCTCTGGCTTCCCTAGTTGCGGCTTCTGTGCTCTACAGAACAGCCGTGGCACACGAGCTTAGTTGCCCTGTGGCGTGGAGGTCATGTTTATTTTTACCTTTTACCCCATGACAACAAAAAGTACACAGTGGAGAAGTGAATAGTTACATAAATTAATCAAAGGCCTAAAAGACAATGCAATTGAGAAGATGAAAATGAATGAACAAATAGTTTTTTTTTTTAATCAGTGTAAACCCCAGAGGGAATTAATGGCAAATGATCCACAAGAGAAATTGGAAAAATCCGTTAGATGCAGGCTACACATGAAGCCTCCAGTTATGAGGATAAAGTCAGGATCTGGAAACATGTTTGTTATACCTGCATTTCAGCTCACTGTTTGGGGAGCGAGTGGTTGCATGTATTAAAAAAAATCACAGTAACTGTATTTGTAATCACACATTCACTCACTTTTTAAGACAAGTGGTTTTATAATTCACAAAGCAGTTACTCGAAACTTGCAAAAGACGACCCTCTTGGAGCCATGAGGACACCACCAGCCTCTCCTTTCCAGGTGACCCCCCACCCCCCACGGTGACTGGGGCCAGGCACCCTGTTCATTAGTCTCAGGTTAACCATTCTTACATTCAGAAGAAAACGACTTATCTTTCCCCAAAGGTGCTCCAAGTAGGCTGGAGGGCTCAGCCCCAGAGTCTGCTTAGTTGACGCTGGGAGCCCGAAAAGGAAACTAAAACTAATTATGGCAGAAAATGAAAAAATCTGGAAGCCCCCACCAGCTTTACCAAGGAGCTACACTTGAGCCCCACGTGGAACACCAAGTTTGAAGCTGCTCTGTATTCCAAATGACTCCAAGGTAAAGGGAAGAAAAAAAAATTAAGATCACGTTTGTGGGAGGGAGGGGGAATTTACACTTTAAAAAGGACACCTGAAGACTCACTGCATCCTGGACAAACCTCAGATGTTAGGCAGAAGCCACCTCCTCAGTTCCCATGTTGTGAGACCATGCATCAGAAAGAGGCAGAGCTCAGGCAGGGAGGGGCCAGCGGGTGCAGGGGCTTCCCGGGGTGAGACTGTTCTACAGTCTGCTGGGTGCCCGTGGACCCACGCACGGGAAGCAGGTGGACCACCTCATGGTCAAGGACACCTGCCGGAGAGGCATCCAAAGGAAAGACACCTCCTGCGTGTCCGGGGAGGGTCAGGTGAACCCAGATTTCCTACACTACTGCTGACAGCCCCCTCGGGGGAGGGAGGTGTAAACCTCACCAGGCGGGCCCATCTGCCTCTACCCACAGGCTCAGCCACAGCAGATAGGCGCTCCTGGGCCACACTTGTCGTGGTGGGCCCGAGGTAGGATCCTCTCCACTCTCAACCCGACTCCTGTTTGTGGACAGAAAACCAAAATTAAACCCTCCGATGCTTCCCTGGTGGCTCAGACGGTAAAGAATCTGCCCGCAGTGCAGGAGAGCTGGGTTCGATCCCTGGGTCGGGAGCATCCCGTGGAGGGGGGCATGGCAGCCCACTCCAGTGTTCTCGCCTGGAGAGTCCCACGGACAGAGGAGCCTGGCGGGCCACAGTCCAACAAACTGCCTGAATCCTAAAAGCACTATAGGCCTGAACTCACTGAGGGCTCAGGAACCACAGAGTCCCCAGCTGCAGCCCAGAGCAGCACTGGCAGAGCCCGCAGGCATCCCAGGGCCGTCCATCGCTCCCACCAGCGACTCAGCCTCAACGCCCAGCTCTGCCCCACAATGGGCGTTTTCTCTCCCCTGAAAATCTGAACATTTACTGAATGTTGTTTTATCCTTGGATTACAGCTTACTCTATTTTCCTAGGTTTGCATTGCAAGTTACAAAAAACACTACTTCTGCAAAAGCAGGTGTTCATGCTACAGACTCGGGTTTTTAACTCTCACCTGCTGTATCCTGCATACATGGGCAAAACTCAGGGCTCACTGTCCCACTACTGACCACCAACCTGCCCAAGTCAGCAGGCCTTCCAGCCTGCCATTCCCTTAGTGCACAGAGACCCCAGCCCCTCCCCAGCCCCACCACCTCCTGCTCTACTGGCCAAGGGCTGACTTGGGTGGAGCCAACACAGTGCCAAGCACAGTCATGTCTTGCCCCTGGGAACCCGCATCAAGAAGGCAGAAATCCCACCCAAGTGAAGCCAGTATACCAACAAGGGTGCCTCACAGAGCCTCGTGAAGGGCACCAACAGGGGAGCCTAAGAGGGTGACTTCCCAACAGGGGGCACAACCGTCCCCTGGACTGAATGCTCCCAGGGAGACAGCAGATGTGCAGAGTCACCCCTAGAGGGAAGTCTGAGCACTCTGCCTCTCTGTTTAGAGCCACCAGGGGCACTCACAGAGCCCTTCCAGATTTGGTCTTAAATGTGTAAACACTGCCAATTCCCAAAAATAGCTCTGAGGTGAAAGAACCTAATGGACAGTAATGAAGGGAGTGCCAACAAGTAAGTATAACCTGTTTTCATTTTTCTCATTGAGTTCAAGAGTTTTTAAAAAACAAATGGTGCTAACTGAACAAGAATCTTCAAAGATTGACAAGTCTCAGGATAAGTGGTGGCTCTGACAGTAAAGAATCTGCCTGCAATGCAGGCGACTGAGATTCCATCCCTGAGTCAGGAAGATCCTCAGGAGAAGGGAATGCATACCCACTCCAGTATTCTTACCTGGATAGTTCCATGGACAGAGGAGACTGGCGGGCTACAGTCCATGGGGCCACAGAGTTGGACACCACTGAGTGACTTTCACTCTTTCACAGGATAAGCTTGTCAACAGGGAGAACTAGCAGCCTGCAGTTAGGGTCACAGTGTTTCCTCAGGGATGTGCCTCTTGGCAAAGCCAGGGCAGCTCTCACCACACAGCCCTCAGGGCAGGAGTCTTTCTGAGACACCAGAGCCCATCACCTCCACGA